TTTGGGCGGCGAGTGAAAAGTGAGCAGGCGCCGCCGAAATTTTAACTCCGCGCTAAAACTTCAGCGGCGACCGAGCGATGCCCTAAAAACGAGCGGTGCCTGGGCGGCCGCCGCTCGGTGGCCGGGCAGCCTCCGGTCAGAATTGGTTAAAAACTCGCCGCTCGGCCGCCGAGCAGGCTACTTTTGGCTAATGTGACTATAACATTAGCCTATACATTATATTTGAGAAGATTAGACATTTAGACAAGGGTTTTATAACTAAAAAAAATGAGTAGTGAGGAACAAGTATAAGACAAAAAACTTCTATTGACATGAAGGATGGCATAACATATGAGAGAATAACGACATGCAAAGATTGTATTGATCATCAGAAAACCGAAAATTCGCATGAAAAGACAAATAGTAGGTAGTACAATTCCTTTCGGATGTGTATGACATGAATGATACTGCCATTATTGTTTCTTTCTTTGTACGAGCAATGGCAATGGAAGATGGGTGGGGGGGGGGGGACTTCAAACAGACATACCGACAAGTAAAAACATGTGTGAACCATCCCATTTCCTGCCCCTTCCCAACCCATATGGTTACCATAGAAAAGAAAATAATGCGGTGTTTTAACGTTCTCTTACTTTGTGGAGTATTTTGCAATGCACCTGATGAGCCTCCATCAAGTTTCAACGCCATTGTATTAATGATAATAGATATTCCTAAACTCAAATCTGACCGAAAAAAATGGTGCAGCTGCGTCCTTACGTTAGGGAGTGTTCCCTCATGGTCCTGCTATAGTTGTTCCCAACATTTCCAAAACAAATTTTCTATATTCCCAAACTAACAGTTTAGAAAAATTGGAGCTGTGATACAATGTCTACTTTGCATAAATTCAAAATGACCGTCATTCATACCTCGTTTTGCCTGATCTCCGTATCTGACATTCACAACCCAATAAAACTACCAAAAACAAATTAGATAATTTTCTATATATTTCCTGCATTTACTATAAAAAAATAGCTTTCATAATAGTAAAAGTTTAGGAATAAATTGCAGCTGTCGAATATTGTTTAATTTGAATAATTTCCAAATGGCTGCTGTTTTCTCAGTAAGGACTTGGTTGTGTTGCCAACTCTCAGCCATCCCGGCCACTCTGTTGGCTTTATCTGGTTTCATTTTCCAACCGAACCCTGAACTTGAACGATGTATGCAGATTGCGAATCCACATGCCAGGCCTGCAGACATGCGACCTTTACTCTCACCATATAGCAATAAATGGATTAATGATACTGGGTAGATTATGATAGTGATAACATTAATGATATTTGACATCCATTTCATATCATTTGCATATAATATATGAAGTGAATGTCTAGACATTAGAATATAGTTTTTATAATTCTCGCTATCGCCGATACCCCCAAATGCCCGGATGTTACTTTTATGCCCCTCATTTCAAATGAGCTCTGGGATAGCCTAGTGACTCAAACCCCGTCTTAAAATAAAGTCGCGGTGTCGTCCGGACGTTGTCACTTCCAAAGACACGTCAAGCGGGGTAACGTCCGGGCAATATCGAGGTAAATCTCACCCTAAAAGAGCCAGGGTGATATTTACACGGGTGACATTTACCCGGGTAAATTACGTCATCGCCGTGAAAAAATGTATACATGTACACAGCGCGCGCCAGCTGATCGCGATGGGGGAGGTGCGGTTGTTATGGTAACCTACCCGGGTGAGGTTTTTGCGGATGGCTGATTAAGACGGTGTCCAAAAGCTCACCCCCGTGTTTTACGATCAGACCCCACTGTTTCTCATCCACATTTCGCTCGGGTGAGATCGGGGCTTCAGTCGCTTTCGGTCTATTTCATGATGCTGTACTGTGCCAAATCGGTCTCGGCCGTGGCCGGGAGTCACCGAGCTAGCTATCTATAATTATTTATACGCTTTACAATAGTTGGATGGCGCGCCTTTTTACTTAGTCTTCGGGGTTTTTAATAGTATATCGTAAGCAATTTTTTTTTTATATAAACTGAATTGTCAGTTGGGTAATAGTGCGATACTGTGAATCTGCTGTGTGCTGGTCGCAAGAAAGTTAACGAAATAAACCTTCGGAGATATCCCTGGATGACAGTTGGTGACTTCGGTAAAATTCCGAACAAACCCTACACAGTGCGCGTGCGACCTGGAAAAAGTTGCTCCGAAGGCAAGACGAGTTTGAATTCACTGCACTTTCGCGAGTACTCACAGATATACGGCCTATCTGCATTGAGCATGCATGTATATCACGGCCATTTTGAAATTATGCAAATTAGGTACGAACGATAGCCCCCATGTTGTAAATATTATCATACTCATATTCCTTGACCCTGAAATATATGGGTCTAGACACCAGCATAACGCTCACATAAGTTTCAGACCCAGAGATATGACACACACACAACAAGAACAGTTTGACGGCGGCTACTTTGAATTTATTCAAATTAGGCATTATTCCACGACTTCGATTTTCCTACACGTTTAAATATGGTTTTGTGGACTTTTCTAAATCAAGTGCGGACATTTTGCCAAATTTTTACAATTTGTGTTGGGTTAACCCCCTTTTTCCAATACCTTTACTGGACTTTTCATGACAGTATTACTATTAACAGCATATTATTGCAACCCTGTTTGTGTGAATACTTTGTATGTTTTGAATATCATAATTATAGTTCCTGTGTTGTGACCTTGAATTTTATTATATGTGCTTTTGAGTGCTAAGCGAATAAAGAACATGAAATAATCAAACAATAAATAGATTGTGGTCTACTACAATATTATCACGAGTCATTGAATGTGAACATAAAGATAAAATCCTATCGAAAAGATATCATGAAGGGCACTTTTTTCCCAATGAAATTTAAAAGAAAGACATTCGCATGCCACGTGAATGATGGACTAATATTTCATTGAAAAAAAGAAGAAGAAACGAGTGCTTCAAAGATCAACTAAAAAACTGAAACAACCTTTCGCTTGGCTATCCATGGTCGGGGGGGGGGGGGGTCGACCCCCCCCCCCCTCAATTTTTTTTGTGTGCGTGTCTTGCGGAGGAAACCCCCAACAGAACGAAATGTCGATCGGTCAAATTTTCAAATTTCGGGACAAAAAAAAAGTGATGGCTGGCTGAGTCGTTGCGAAATTTTCGGCACGATTTTAAAAATTAACACCCCCCCCCCCTTCGAAAAAAACCCTATACGCGCCTGTCCATGGTTATACTGAGGTGGAAACTGCACTGGTGAGAAACCACACGACAAGTGAAGAATAGAGCAAACACAATTTTAAGTCTCGTAAAATGTCACCCAATTAGAGAATTAAAATACAAAACATTGCACGTTCATTGTGATTTGTTTTGGTTAGAAATTGATGATAATTACTTTTTGTGTGAGATTGTTATTTTTACCGCATTTTGGCCTCGCAGCAATGATGATCGTTTTGTGTGGCAGCACCTTTATCTACAGTTTATTTTAATTCTATCTATATCTCTATCGACATTTTGCATGGAAAATGAATTAAATTAAATTAAATTTGATTGAATTTATGAACGTCGAGTTTTGTTATGACGGTGTGCATTTGCATATACATGTAGCCTACTTTGATAACCATTTTAACACGAGTTTTTCCCTAGTCTGGTTATCAATCCTTTTTTTTTGGGGGGGGGTATATTATTACCCCTAGAAAATAATCCTGGATGAGGAATGTGAGAGCAGTGAATGAATGAAAGAATAAATTAATTAATGAAAACTATATGAATGTATGAATGAATAAATGAAAGAATGATGAAAGATGACTAGATCGAGTTATCCTAATATAATACACAATGGAAATACAACTCTTGGGTAATAAATAGAAGTATAGGTTGCCGTGCCCTTGTTAAACCAATAAACATTTTATGTCGAGAACATTACGGAACTGTGTGCGTGCAGTGGCGTACACCTGGGGGGATGACTCAGGGGCGGATCTAGCTTTTTGCTAAGGGGGGGGGGGGTTGACCAATAATGACGATGCAGAGCATCGTCCATGAGCCGCAAAGCGGCGAGCCGATTTTTTTCGGGGTGTTTATTTGAACCCCGTAAGTGATGTTTTCCTGGCATCTATTAACACAATGGAGACCATAAAAAGCAGTGCATGATAACGTCTTTTTAAATCAAGTAACAGTTAAATACACAGTTATATCCAGAGTTATCATGTGTTTGGTTAAGTTACCAGATGAGTTGAATATCTTTTCACAATATTTGCACTTGAAAGGGTTTCTCTCCAGCGTGCGTTCTTTTTTCTTCCTTTCTTTTTTTTTCTTTTTTTTTTTTTTTTTGTTTGTTTTTTGGGCCGCCCAAGGGGGGTTTAAACCCCCTAACCCCCCCCCCCCGTAGATCCGCGCCTGTTTAATCTTGTGGTTATCTTGTGGTTTCCAAACCACAAGATACCAAACCACAAGATAACCACAAAATACTTGTAAGATTTTCTCTTTTTTTACCGTCTGAATTGGCTTTCACCGTGTGAATGCGGCTAATAACAATAAACACAATTACAATAATGATGAGGATTATTATTATCATCATCATAATTATTATTATTATTAATATTATAATTGTTATCATTATTATTATTACTATTATTATCATCATTATGACTTATTAAGTAAGCAAATATCATTCCCCAAAACCTGGGGGGGGGGGGATGATTGTACATGCCATCCCCCCACCTTGTGAGGTGGGGGGATGCATCCCCCTCATCCCCCCCCCCCCCCCCCCGTTGTCTACGCCCCTGTGTGCGTGTAATTTGGATTTCTAAAATTAATTAAGTGTATCAAACATGTTTGGGGACCGACCTTTAACCATCTGGAAATGTGAAGTGAACGTACTGCCAGACAAAACTCACATCTCTCGGATTTCCTGCCTACCTTATTTTATAACTTTCACAAGAGTAGTCACACGCTATCATAGCTTAAATAGCCTATAGGTTCGTTGTTTCGCCGATCACGAGATCAACATTTTAGCGACGCCCTTACTCTGCTCTCGATTTATGAATCCCTTACTTTGCTCTCGATTTATGAATATTACGAATTCCCTCATTTGCCGGACGGACTGTCGTGTGCAACTGTAATATGGAATTTGTGGCAGGTATAACCATCGCCAGTTTGGTACTGGTACTTATTCTTTCATTGCCCTACATCTTGGGCGGGTTCCTTGGGCTGCGAGGAGTCACCAAAATGGTAAGAATTTAATGGAGACATGTTACAGCCTTAGAATTCGGTAGACAAATGAAAACGTATATGACAATGTGTCGAATCGTCGTGATCTTTTAGATCCCTTGTTGACCATACATTGCGAGACAAACAAATGTCCCTGGCGATATTATTTTCAATGTTTCATATATTTTACACATCCAGGGAAGTGTTACATGTAGGACAGAGATATCCATTTTATTATTGAGTAACCTCTAATTTCAATGTTGCTTTCGAGGCGGAATGGCTCAGCGTCAGTGGGTAACAGTGTCGTTACTAGGAGGACACGGGTTCGAAACCAAGTGAATTCACTATTGGTAAGGCATTGATCCTCATTACAAAGTCCCTCGGAGAATACTTAAAGCTGTCAATCTCCTGGTTGCTGAGTACATAGTCAGGGTCTTTCCATAAAGGTCGGATGTACATTACGACACATTAAATGGGCCACATCTTGTTTGATTTAAAACAGTTTTTTTTTTAAATTTTCCAATGGAGTAGCAAATGTAGCCAATAACTTAAAGGTAATACAAAGTTTTGGTATGGGGTCATGAATTTGGTTCAAATGAACATATAGGAGGCCTATGCGATCCTACAATATTTAATGATCGTTCTCGCGGTTGAAATCGAGTCTTAAGTTACGAAATTGTAAATAATAAACTCTTCATGTTGTATAGCTCCCTCTCAAGGTCAAGCTATAAAATAATTTTATTGACTAAAATCGACCAATTAGCTATTCCCGTTTGAAAATTATATATCACATCTACATATTGAGAGATTTTCATGGTCGTAGCTACCGTGAAACAGCCATATGCGCTATTTGAAATTAATCAAAATTTACTGGGAGCACCGGTAAATTTTTATATTCAATTTTTCTCGAAAGTAGAGGTGTTTTAGCAGAAGCGGATCTAGAGGGGGGGGGGGTTGGGGGGGTTGCAACCCCCCCAAAAAAAAAAATCCGGGGACCATTTTTTTAAAATCTTAAATCTTATCTTTTTTTTTAAACTTGTAATTTTATTTTATTCTATTTCTATGTATTTATTTCATTTATTATTATTATTATTATTATTATTATTATTATTATTATTATTATTATTATTATTATTATTATTATTATTATTATTATTATTATTATTATTATTATTATTATTATTATTATTATTATTATTATTATTATTATTATTATTTCTTTTTGGGGGGAGGGGGGGGGGGGTTGGGCGAACAAATGTCACAGAGTCCCTTGCCCCTCCCCCCCCCCCCCCCCCCCCCCATCAGCTTTTTTGAGGACACGGGCCACCGCCGAAGTGACAAGCTAGGCCAGCGTTGCCGATTCTCATCCCCAAAATCCCCACATTAAAAAAAAAAAAAAAATTGGGGGATTGTTGAAGTCTTTGGGGATGAAAAATAAATATTTGGGAATGAAAATAATATTGAGTTTTATGAAAAACGAATTTGGGGATTTTCTGTCAAAATTGGGCAACTTTGGGGATATTTTAAGTGTCGTTTGGGTGGGGATTTTGTGAAGATTTAACCTGGCAACTCACGCTGAGCTGGGCTGCTCATTTCCTGGATTACTTGTTCAAGTTGCTCACTTTTTTATCAGTCTGGTCTGAGTGTAGTGACAAGCAATATGGAAGCAAACAGGGCAAAGAAGTTGCGGCAATCCAGTCTCGCATCTTTTTTTACTGGAAGGTATGTTTGAATCATGCAAAAAAGTTGGCATACAGGGTAAATTACCATACATTTGGGTGTAATACGGACGTGTTCATGCACTGCTTTTTATGGTCTCCATTGTGTTAATAGATGCCAGGAAAACATCACTTACGGGGTTCAAATAAACACCCCCAAAAAAATCGGTTCGCCGCTTCGCGGCTCGTGGACGATGCTCCGCATCGTCATTATTGGTCAACCCCCCCCTTAGCAAAAAGCTAGATCCGCCCCTGTTTAGGGGCTAAATTTTCTATCAAAATTGTAAAGAATGACTATCCACCCAATTTTCAAAATTTCCCAAAACTTTGTATTACCTTTAAAGGTCGGGTGAAATCCAAATATAACTTGATTCCTCTTGATATACAGGGATGCATACATTATTCAAACATCTAAATATATTTCATAGATTTGCAAATATTCATTTTTTTAAAATTCAGACCTGCTAAGCTCCACCCTAAAAATATGCTCCAGAACTCATTCATCTTGCGACATCTGTCAATCATTAGTGAGCTAACAAGAGACAGTGGTATGGAACAGGGTTTTTATTCTATTTTTTCTTACTCGAGAAGTGTAAATCGTATGGTTAGGTAAATATGTGCAATGTATCTTTTACCCAAATTACGTTTAGAAACGCATATCTGGACGTCAGACACATCAGAGGAAACTAACTGGGAATGCGAATGGCGCCTTAAACTCTTCCCCGGAAGTTATCATCGTTGGGTCTGGCATTATGGGCTCTGTCATGGCAACCGTTTTGGCGCGAGATGGAAGAAAAGTGACCGTATTCGAAAGGGACATGAGGCAGCCAGATCGTATCGTTGGTGAGACCATACATCCAGGTGGCATCGAAACATTGGCCAAACTTGGACTGACTGGTAGGTTGCCAACAGTTATAAAATAAAATGTTTCAAAAAATTTAAAGAATAAATGATTTGCCGAAATATGTTGGATTTATGCTACCTTACATACATTTCAACATCTGTTTTGTGTTGCCTTATGCCTAGGTCATATAAACCGGGCCCCGTACGATTTTCCCTACCCGGCGGCTTGCCGTGGATTTAGAGACCGTACGGGAACCTTCCGATTTTCATTTCTACGGCATGTGTGGTCACATATTCTGCGGCGCCTGGGAGGTGTAGATCTATGTAGATCTTGTTTGTACTTGGTCAGAACTCAAATTCATTGATATGTTTAAAGTAAGAAATATACCAAATGAAATTATTTGGAAAAATAGTAACATTACCTTTAGGAACAAAATACTGTTTTATCGAGAATGGCAAGAGGCCGGTTTATTGAAAATTCATAATGTGTTTACAAATGGTATTTGGAATGATTCTACAATACTAAATACAAAAGTGAAAGCACAACAGCTCTTATTTGATTTTAAATATACAAAATTAAAGAAAGCATTTCCACAGTGTTGGTTGGATAGATTAAGCTATGAATTTGAACAAGAATGTGATATTTCGAATATGATAGAAGTAGAAACAGGGGATAAAGTAAATGTTTTTGTTATGAAAGTGAAAGGTTACTATCGTTTGTTATTACGTAAAAAGTCAAAAGAACCAAATATCATTTACTTTTGGAATTTCTTTTTAGATTTGGATAATGACTTTGTTTGGAAGGATGTATTTTTATTTAAATTAAAGCAAAATCGTAATAATAAAGTTAAACAATTTAATTTCAAGATGATTCATAATTATGTTTATTGCCTCAAAAGAAAACTTATATAAATGGCAAATTGTTAATAATAATTTATGCAACTCTTGTGGACAAGTTGACTCAACTTTTCATTTTATGTTATATTGCAAGGATGTGACTATGTTTTGGAAAATAATATGTAATTTGATATTTAATCTATTCCAAATAGAAATACAAATAGATCAGAAGATAATAGTTATAGGAAAGGATATTGGAAACAAGAAATATTCACTTCTGAATATTATTTTAGATTATGCGCAATATGCAATTTATAAATGTTACGTTAAGAAGATTGTTAATGGTTCTGTTTACTACCCACATACTTTGTTTTTTTAATTCAAGTCGTTGCTAAGATTATTTTTAAGATATGAATGTGTTAGCAAAGAAAATAATACTAAGCTGGAAGAATTGTTGAATATACTTTAATCTTTAGCCTATGTTATGTTTCACTCAATCATTGAGTTATTAATGTACAAATGTATTATTATTATGGATATTGAGGATAAGAGAAAAAAAAATCCCAAATGTCTGTTTTTACTCGCCGTACGGGCCCCGGAGTGTATATGTGAAAGCCCCATAAACGATTTCAACTTTACTATGTTTGGTATGTTTGTTTATGTTATCTACGAAGATTGTCTATCCGGTTTTGGAGCCAACAGACTGGATGGTATGGTGATTCATGATCCGAATACGAAGAAACCGTTGGATTTCCAATATCCACGAGACAAAACCGAACGAATCCGGGTTGGCTACAGTTTCCACTACGGTCGCTTTGTTATGAGTCTGCGAAAAGCTGCCATGGCGGAAAATAAGTGAGTGTAGGAGCAGGGCCCTGTTTCACAATTCTTTTAAAATCAATAATTAATGCTAAATCTAAATCTAATTCCACACTTTCAGTATAGTTTATAACAGTAATTGTAACTTGTTACTGATAAAAACAAATTCATGAAACAGGGCCCATGCAGGTTAAACAGCAAAGAAAACAACGATAACTGTATTCATAGCGCCTGAAGCATTGTGATTAATTTGTGAAAGTTGTTTATTTCACAATTATCATCATCATTATTATTATTATTGTCATTATTACTTTTGATCTTAGAGTAATTATTATAATTAGTATAATCATTAAAAAAAAACATTGTGTGAGAAGGGAAACCAAAGACTTTACTTTCTGAGAATGATGAAAAATAAGCGGACTTTTTTTTTTTTTTTTTTTTAAAGGGGGGCGGGGGGGATTCCAAAAAAAAAATCGCAACGACTCAGCCAGCCGAAAAGTCACTCAGTGGGGGGGGGGGGGGGGGGGGGGGGGGGGGGGGTAAGAGGACACTTTTTTTTTGGTCTCGAAATTTGAAAATTTGACATTTTCTTCCGTTGGTGGGGGGGGGGGTAAGGTCACCTTTTTTAGGTCAGCCATTGACATAATTTTTTTTTTTTTTTTTTTAATTAAAAAAAAAAAAACTCAAAGGGGGGGGGGGGGTTTCTCAAACAACATACACAAAACATACACATAAAAAAAACTCAAGGGGGGGGGGTTTAACCCCTCCCCCCTGCGTACGCGCCTGACCACAATGATATAACTGCAGTTATCTATCCACTTTGATTAACAATGATGGCGTTGATAATAATAATAACAATAGCAATAATGATCATTATTATTTGAATTTATAAATTGTTCTCACAAAGATTAATATATCAACGATGATTATATTCAATAGCCCGTTAAAAGTAGTGGAGAGATATTTTTAATCATCTAATCAGAAAGGAAGTTTAACAATTTTGGATGGCGTAAAAGTTATTTCTGTGAAATGACGAGATTTTTTTCTGTTTTGAAATTGTTTGCTTCACTGTTTTGCATGTTTCATATTATTTTACTCTGTTTTGGGGGTATTATTTTAATGCTGGTGGGAAGCATATTTCCACATTGTGGACGAAATAAATCAATATCAATCATCAGTATATGTGTTTCGTAATCCGGGTGTAGTAATTGGGTACTAGGTCAGAAGAACAATTCTGAAACACTCCACGTCATAATTTATTGTTCAGACCAGGAACCTGGGAGCGATGTTTTTTTTAAAATATTTTCTCCACTGATTGCTGATGATACAGAGATATGAGAAAATGCCCCAGCTTTTTTTGACACGAAAGACAAACGTCATCACATTTTTGGGCGGGTGCCTAAGTGACTCAAGAAATTAGTTGATTGGACTCCACCGCTGGAACGCCCCAGCTCCCCTGTTTAATACCAGTTACATAGTGCCGGAATACAGTGAATGAATTTTACAATTATTGTTATATGCTTATCATCTTTTAATATAAAGCTATATTCATATAACTTATCGATTTCACAAGACAAACTGCTCCAAAACTACCCAAAACAATAACAAAACTAACTCTTTAGGTGGAGATTTTTCTTTCATTTGTGCCGCTCCTAAGGTTTGGAATAACCTGCACTAGACATAAGAAAAGCCCCCATAATTATGGTACCCTCTTCAAAGGTTTTGTTGCATACGAATTTGTTTTGATAAGGTTATGAATAGCTTTTGGTTGTGTGTCCGTAAAGCAGCACTGTTTGGATTGTTTTGTTACAGCGCAGTAGAGTTTACTTATATGTAACCTGCGCAATATAAATTGATATAAGTATCATTATCATTCCTTCTCACCATCAATTTAGTGTGACATACATAGAGGCTACTGTGACCAATCTCCTCGAGGAGAAACATCGAATTGTAGGTGTAGAGTACAAGAACAAGGGTGAACAAACGATGAATGTGAGTTTGTTTGTTTGTTTTTTTTTTTTTTGTTGTTGTCCCCTTCCACATTTATTTCAAAATGATGTTCTTGGCCATTCAAAATATGATAAGAAAATACAATTATAGATATCAGTTACAAATTGAAGTTCACTTTTTTTTTTTAATATCACAGATTTAGTTGGCAAAATGAGTGTAGAAGAAATAAACAATCAGAAACACTTTGCAAAAAGTAAACACTTTTTCATAAATTTCTTTTTTTCCCAGATTTGTTTTAAATATATACTTTTCCATGTTATAATAACACTTTATCGCTGATATTATGTGTTAAAAAAATGGCAAACACTGTTTGCATTTGGCTTTATCTTTATCATTTTACTTTATCTGATTTCTTTATCTTATTGTATATATGTATTCTGTGTTATTTGACTTTCAAGACCTCGTTCTATAAATATTCGCGACTGATTCAAATCAATCGCAACTTGATATCAATCGCAACCCTGCACTAAAGAGACAGAATCGTGTAAATGTGCGATTGATTGGAGGACCAAGGGGCAGATCAAGCCGGCAAACGGCGAATAAGCGGGGGGGGGGGGGGGGGGGGGGGTAAGAGCACTTTTGGGGGGGGGAGGGGTCCAGTTTTTGAGGAATTTTTTTGCGCCGTTGAATAAGCGGGGGGAGGGGCGGGCCGGTAGAATCGGCCCGTGGATCCGCGCCTGGGAGGACCTGTGATCAATCTGGATCAATCGAAAATCTTCAAAAGACAGGGCTCAAGTATGAAATTAGAAGTGTATGACAAACAGGTTCACATTACAGAATAAAAGGGGAAAACAATTAGAGGGCGCCCTTGTAGGCTGTTACCTTGAAATCGCCGCTATATTTGATACCTTATGTGGTTATCGCTTGAACAGCAACCTTACAAAATCATGATATATATTTTTTTAATAATTAAAAACTTGACGGTACAGATTTATATGCTCCATCACGATACCTCAATTTACAGCCCCAACATGAATATTCAAAAATGATTTTCTTACAGACGCTCAAAGCTCCTCTGACCGTGATCGCTGATGGGGCTTTCTCTAATTTTCGCAAGCAGTTCTCGACGCTGAACGACGAGATATTGACCAAACCATCATCTTACTTTCTAGGAATGAGAATAAAGAAGACTTCCGACTTCAAGGACAATCATATAGAAGGATTCTGGTATTGGGTTGTAGAACAGATATTCATTTCAATATTCTTTGATTTACGTATTAGGAAACTGATACAATTTAAATATTTGTTGATTTATTTACGTATTTACATATTATGTTTGTTTCTTTACAGTGTAGCAATTTTGTCAATGACGAAATTGCTTTTATGTATAATAATTTAATCTCAATAATCTTTTTATCTATATTCGTAACGTGTGAGATAACTAAACCACTTTAATAAAAATGTTAAGCTTTCCCAGGTCCAGAAAAAAGTCTTAACTTGATTTATTAGTTTATAAATTTATTTACTTGCACCAAATGGACGTAAATGTGGTGGATCCGGAAATGTCGCGGACCCGGTTACTTGGATTTATAATCCGGTCGACCGCAACCTTGTAGAATTCAAATTCAAATTCAATTCATGTGTAATAATATAATTATGTATTGAATTTTAAATGGTAAAGTCGGACACTTTTGGATACATTAATTCACTTTTACTTTGCATGCTGGGTGAACTTGTTTGCGAGGTCCACTTCAATTTTTAGGCATTCAGGTTATGGCTTCGTGAAAAAAGTTTTGCTAAAGGATTTAGTAAATGACGTAGTGTAGGAATTAAAGGCAAGGGACCATTTAATAAAAGTGTTAGTAGATTAATTTATTGCAGATCTGTTGCAGAGGCCAATACACAAAATAATTTTTTTGTGAGATAATGAAAAACTGGGTGTCAAATTTGAAAGAACAATTTAAATCACAAATCATCTTTGTTAGATCAAAATCCGTTCAGAGACGGCTGAAATATCCATAAATATAACGATTTCTAATATTTATGTACAACCACAAATAGGCTATACGATAATTTGAACCAGCCGTTGAAAAAACGAATTAGCGCCTTTTACGTTGTATTTCAGCCATTGCGCAGGTTGGCCTTTTTGGTTATATTACACACAACCAGCCGGCCCGTATTTTTGAAAGTGGAACTAAATTGGTATGATCAAATTGGCTAAATTTCACACATTTTGGGGTCTAAAATTACCTTCATAGCAATTTTAGGTCCTAAAATGGCATTAGTAAGCTCATAGATAAGGATAAGAGCAATAAAAATGCACTTTAAAGGCACTTGCGGTCTGAAAACAGAACTCAACTATCCCTTTAAATGACGCAAATTAAAGTGATTGCGCGGAGAGTCAAATTGAAAGAAACAAATCATACGTGTGGCCTGCATTGAATTGAAATTCAATTGCGTGTTTTCACTGGTTCAAAATGATTGTAATGCTAGGGAAAACAATACCACACTGTTTAATGGTTAATTCTGAAATATTGTTTCAGGTGCAATTCTATTGCAGGAGTATCGTATCGGACCTGTCCCGAGACAGTCCGCTTACTGGCACTCTTCGGCACCAATAAACCACAGAACCTGCAGCAACTCGTCATGGAAACTATTGTACCTGAACTGCCAGGTTAGCAACAGTACATCCCAACAGTAATGATTTCAAACTACCGTCTTTGTCACAATCAAGGAATATATTTGTAACATAAACACACGCACCCACCCATAGAGAAAGAGAGAGAGAGAGAGAGAGAGAGAGAGAGAGATTTGGTTGGATTAGAGGTTCGCATCCATTTTTATATCAAAGTAAGAGTTCGCCGATTCCAGATTACGATTCATTTTTATCATTTGTATTGGGTACTCCACATTTACAATGGATATGCAAAGTACAGGTTTTCAAATTAAATGACAAATACTAACTTTCAAAAATGTTGACGTGTTTTGCCATATTGAGTAGCAATAACATGCTTTGATTTATGTTTCAGTTTGAGAAAAGAAATTGAAAATAAGGTTAGTCTTTCCTAAATTTACATTTACAGAGGTGTTGTGGTCTAGTGGATAGGTCAGCGGACTGTGAATCACCGGGTCTGCGATTAGAGTCTTGCCACGGCACAAATGTCCTTTGGCAAGACATTAATCTACATGTGCCACTCTCCACCCAGGTGTTTAATGGGTACCGGTGGAGGAATTCCTTGAATGATGTGAGCACCGAATTTAATTTAATTTTAATTTAATTTATTTCATTTCCAGGCAAGATGATAACATACAAAATATCACAAGGTTAACAAATGATAGAACATACTGTAAACATAATGATATTTAGCACCAGCCAATGCCTGAGGATCACCTAAAAGAATTTAAAAAAATTCTGTCGAGAGGCTCTCCACATTGGCTGGTGCATACATAAAACAAAATATAAAGATAAGGTCAACGAAAATACTGGACCGACATACTGAACGAAATTGGTAGCCTAGCAGAGTCGGGGTAATATTGAAGCGCCTTGAGCACCTTGCATGGTGGATAGCCATATAAATTCAATTTAATTATTATTCTTTACATTTTAGATCATTACAAGGAAGTGGTTGGACCAGCCTTGGAGGCGGGTTCCGTACGCCTCCGTCTCATTCCCGCCTACTACATCCCTTCTGCGCCTCTCCTGAAACCCGGCATCATGTTGCTAGGCGACGCTCTCAGCAGTCGTAGTGCCATCACAGGAAGCGGAATAACTTCAGGCCTGAAAGATATTCAACTCTGGACCGACATACTGAAGGAAATGGATTCGCTCGGTGAGTTGATCAAAGACGTCGATGTTGATGATTGGGGGACGTGGCAACATAAAAGTATATTGTTCTTTATTCTACTTTAGACATGCACAGAATGAAAACCACCGATATATCACAGTGCAAGGTTTATAATCTATATCTCATTATTTTTTATTTTGACTACCATTAACAAAGGCTTTCGAAAAATTACAATCATAGATGACGAAATCCGAAAATAATTAAGGATGTAAATATGGTATCGAGTCCTCGAAAGTCTTTGAGATTGTGTTCATTACCTTATTTCCTATGGTATCGATGACAGATGATGATGAAGCGATGGCCGAATCACTCAATTGGTTCCAGAAGAAGCGTCGTTCAAGCCACGCCCTCGCCATCAACGTCCTCGCTCAATGCATCCAGACAGTCCTCCTCTCAAAAGACCGTAAGATCAATTTAGAACTGTCATCATGTGTCTTATGCCTGTTGCACACGTGGCGTCACTTGCTTGACGCAGGCCTGCTGCGTCAGTGACTAGCATAGCCCTAAATACGCCATGTATGAATAATGTCGTAACAAAGTGAATGCAAAATAAAAAGTGCAAACATTGTTTTAAATAATACTGGCATAATTATAATTACCTTCACAGTGAAGATAAACGCAGGTATAACACAATCAAATGACAACCTCTTTTCAACGGGCTTTAGCTTCAATTTCAGTAGTTCATCTTAATAATGTTTAGGAGTTTGTTATTAACACACCGTTCATTAAATTAATGGTGAGCCCCTTTGCGTTGCATGTATACACCATGTTGTAACATCCTCAAATGATATTTTTTCATGTAATCATATTGATCTGGATTTGTTTTGGAGATTCTCATTCATATTATGTCCAACATATGGGATCGATGAGCCTTTTGGGCGAGAGATGGTTTTCAAAGGTGTCCACACATTTTACAACTTCCTATGATATTTCACTTATGTCCAAGATGAGGTTCTAAAATGTTACACTATATAGGAAGTTTCCTAATCAATCAAGGTCTTTTTTTTATGGAATAACGTAAATTTTCGGGAAAAGATGAAAACTAATCTCTGAGCTTGATTATAGTGTAGGAGCATATTATAGACAAAATATCCTTTAAAAAATAAGGCATTTGAAAATGCCCCCATCTTTGAAGAATGAGAGGAAATAGCTAAATTGATTGAACCAAACTTTCTTGCCACAAGTTTGTGTTATCCCAAGCATAATATTATACACATATTTTATTGTACCATTATCTTATCTTATCATTGTGATGATTCCAAACCTCACAGTATACCGTATACGCCAACATATATGATAAGCATTGACCCAGTTGTGGTAAACGTAACAGAAACTGAACACATAAAGATGTATATGGGACTACACAAACAAGTGGCATAAAATTGTGGTCCACATTTTTAAGCTGTTATATGTCATATTTTGAATATATGAAGGCATCTGATGAGCCATGATTTTCAGGGAACATGTTTTCTCTGATGTTCTTCCACACTTGCAAAATAACAGTGAAAACGCTCACAATTTTTTGTTTTATATTCACGTTTCAAGACAAAGTTGATCTATTTTGTATTGTATTTTTTGTCAGGGTACTTGTCAAAGTTTCGCCTTGGAGCCTTTCACTACGTCATGAGTGGTGGCGAATGCTTAGACGGACCCCTACGCATCTTCTCATGGTAAGCATCACGAATAGTATACAAATAGAACACAACAGTGAGGGCATAAGTAAGAATTACCCACACAAGGTACCTCAGTTTGGAACAGTCTAACACGCCCGAGGCGATATCCGAGGGTGTTTGGACCGTTTTGAAGGTACCGAGTGTGGGAAATTTTACTAATGCCCGAACAAAATAATGTGTATCATTTGTTTTATAATATTATGTTTTATTTGTTTAATAAAATGATGTTTTATAACATTACTTTATTAATGACCGGTCATTAGCATTTGATAATGACCAGTCATTATCAAAATTACGTGTTAGGCAAAATAAATGCCTGGTCATGTGTACGCTCTCAACCAATCATTTGATTAGGATCCACGTCATCATCTTATAAAACACGATCTGACAAGATTGCAAAAACCTTCGAAAAATAACCCCAGTCAACTTTGATAGTGTTGACCATAACCTGTGAGATTTGCGATCATGTAAATGACGTACAAAGGAATTCAAACCGAAAATCCTTTCTTTGTGATACGCAATAGGTGATTGAAATTGTTATTTTAAGAAATTAAAGTGAGATAATAAGTGCTTGTCAATCAGAATTCCCTTTTAATAACTGCATTCCTTTGGGGGACTAAAAACCCAAGATCCTTTTTTTTTGTCTTAATGGAAATGCAGGCATTCCGAGCATATTCTTGCATTACAGGCATCGGTCATTTTTTAACCCTCTTCAAACAGAATAGCATTAAATATGTACACTTTCTTTGTTTGCCTCTTATATTTTATCAGCATTGTACTTTTTACTACGAGAGAATCATATTGCAAATTATCGTAATTTAACCTAGATAATCGTAAGCTCACTTAGATTATGGTAATTTACGCAAATTATTGTCAGTTCGATCACCTCACCTCCCAACCAACAGCTTGGAACCTCGCCCCGGCTTGCTGCTCTATCACTTCCTGCGGGTTAATCTCTACACGGCTTATTACCTCCTCAAATCGGCACCGTGGTACGCCAAACCTCTTGCTCTGCTGGATGGGCCGCTGGTCTTCATTCGGTCATCCTTGATGTTCTTCTCCCTCTGGTTCGCTGAGAGCAAAGCCGTGAAAAATTAACGAACAAAATGAAGGACACTTAAAGCCCCACTGTCCTACTTGTAGCTACTTGCTCCCTCTGTATAGAAACCTCCCCAATCGGTGCCTGTTGGTTCCCCATGATCCTCTTTTTCTTATGTTAGTTGAGAGCTGAGTGAATGAGATAGCCACCTGTCAGTGACCTCGCTGTGTGGTCTAATCCCTTCTGGCCCAGTAGTATTGACGGTCTTTAATTTCAAACAAACGCGGTGACTACCAGTGGCGTATGTATAGGGGTGCAGAGGTGGCACTTGTGGGAAGGAGGAAAGGATGGAAATTATGATTATATTATAAACGCCCCCTATACGCATTGTAAATCTAACTAAAAATGAGGGACTTTCGGGTTTAAAATGCAGTTTCTTCCTTAAATTTAGTCGCTTTGCCCCCTCGCACAATGTTGCTTCGTGATCTCATAATTTTGTAACCCAATATAGGGTGCAGCTTTTAAATGGTTTAAGTGGCTCACAATTTCTTTATATATTGCTCCCTATCATTTCAGTTTCATTAGCCTTTAGTTGAATATTGCGTTCCTGATATATAATAGGATAAAACGTATAAAATAGCAATTACACAATAGCGTAATAAGTTATGGCACGGAGGGGGGGGGGGGGGGTCATTATTCGCCCCGAGTGCCATAATCTGTAGATACGCAACTGATGACAATATTCTAAGAATAATGTCTTATCGACAATATATTCCAACAGATATTTCATTTATGACCTTTGCTAGAGCATGTTTACATATTACATAATTATATTCGTATATTATATAACCTATTCCATTCGAGGGCCTTGTTGTACTGTAATCTTTTGATATATGGTATAGATATATTATGGTATCATAGCTTCATATCATATCATATCATATCTTCAATTCAATTCAACTCGGCAAATAACGATGTATTATACTCATCTTGCTTATATAAACACTGAACGTAAAGTTGACAGAATCTTCCATTGTTTCTGTCTTATCTTGTCTTTTTTAGTGTACGTTAACTATGATTAGACCATTTTGTAATACATTTACATAATGATGTTTAATGTTTTATGGTGTTGCTGAATATATCTTTAGAAAAAAGGGTGAGAGAAGATTGAGAGGGGGGTAGTGAAAGAGAGAGAGAGAGAAAGGGAGAGAGAGGAGGAGAGAACATGGAGAAATAAAGAAGAAAAAGAAGGCCGATTGAAAAGAAAATGACACTCCCCTCAAGGCGATTTTTAGCATCGTCATGATGATAAATGGCGATCATTATGATGCGGAGGAGATGGTAGTGATGATGATGATGATAAAGATAAAGATTGGTATACGCGTAAAGACCAAAACGACCCTTCCTACCTCTCCCTCTCTCTCTCTCTCTCTCTCTCTCTCTCTCTCTCTCTCGATTACCTTGTTCAATCACATGTCATGCACAAAGTAATATAAGTGACCCTCCTCTGCATACAGTGACCACCTCAAACGAAGTGCTCCCTAAATAGCTTCACCCAACCTCACGCCACACCTACCTGCAAAAACACACATTTCGATAGCGACGCTCTCACACTATCCTGCTCATGATGAACCAAACACTACATAAAATAACGCAAGAGAGCTTTACTTTTCTATATTTGGTGTCTACATACAATTATCTTCATATTTTATTCATCGTTTTCGTTTTCACAATAATAAATAATACACAATATGAAATCGGTTGCTTAGACGAAATGCAAATCAAACATTTGTTGGCTTCTTTTTACAAAAATAAACGAGGAAGCAAATATTACTCTTTTTATTTATTGCTTGTCAATAACGCAAAGAGGTAAACATTTTAAGTTTACTGTTTTCCTGCCTATAACCATGCATTCGTTCGCGAAAAACAATTAAACCTGTATAGATGATTGATCGTAGCTTTCTTATACAATGTAATTAATAAGCTATTTACACAATAAGTTAAGAGATGAATAAATTATTAAATAATGAGGTAATAGTCGGGGAACGCCGACCATATACGTATAATTGTCTTTCATCTACATAAATATGATCTCGAGTTACACTTTTTTAAATTAAATAGCATAACATTCAATTACAGCGAAATATTGTGTTACAATCATTGGTCAATAAATAAATCTACAATAAAACCACTTTGCAAAGTTGCTTTTCGGTGCAATCGATCAAAGTTCGCAAGTCTAAACTGTTCGAGAAGAAAAATTATGAAGAAAAAGAGGCTACTTTTAATCTGTACTGTCAACTTAAAGGCTTTTCATGAACATCTTTGTGGAGAGCAAATGAAATTGAAAATAATTGGCCACTCTGGTTCACCTTCTTTTCTTCTGATTGGGGGGGGGGGGGGGGTGGCTGTAAATTATCGGACATGCCAAATCCTTAAAGACTTCATTTCGAAACACATATATATATATTTCATAATTAGTTGTGGAGAACATGAAAGTTGGTGGTGAAAGATGATTTACCCCGGGAGCAAATTGACAGAAATAGTTGCTCTCAAGAAAATGGGCCATTCAATATGAGAAAAAATTGTCCAATCAAAATTCAAAATTAAGATATTTGAGAATATCTGAACTTATATTGAAATATCAGGATTATCTTTCTAACATGAGAATCTAGAGAAAAAATATTCCTCCTAGATTTGAAAAAAACAAGAGATGAAAATCACATATTTCGCTGATGAACATCGGCTTTAGAATACCTACACTACAGAGATCGCTGATGCAAACCGCGATGTCAAATCAATGACTTCTGATTGTCAAGTTCCTTGTAATAAAATAGGCCAATACCCATAATTGTCTTCTACTTTTCAGAGTAAGCATTTCTGAGGTACCATCTACTCATCTAATAAATTATAAACAATATATTACGAAATCTATTTTCTACATGGAATTATAAGAAACGAAGCAAATAACTTAATCAAAATTGGAATGTTTTAGTGACACACATATATTTTGTATATCGCCAGACACTGTGAGAGCATGGCGATACTGGAATGTTTTTCTTGTTTCCATCACTGACTTTAGATTTAGATAATATTGCGTAAAGGTCTCATCAACGGCCAAACAAAGTAATATACACGCAGTTATTGCAATGCTTAACGTAATGATGCAATTCGAAAATCATGCAAGGTACATGTAGCTAAACAAAATAACGAAATGGCAAATTCAATGATGATTCCTTAAACGAAGCACATAAATAATGACAAAATGCAAATTAGGAAGGTTAACTACCCAATGGTATGCCTACGAAGGGTTGAAAATATTTAAGAGAACAGTATTCAATGCATTTGATATTCGATATAAAACAGCAACAGATCAAGGTGAATTTTGAATGATTCAATGAGATACATTTTTTTTGATTGACACATGAATAGACATCAATATACATCTGCCGGATAATTCCGACAATGACACGTGAAGTTAAAGGTCCATAATATTAGGGCATTGCATTTTAAAAGTACAATTTAATACTTTTTTTCTAGAAATGAAAGAGAATATCAAAAGATTCATTAATCACTGGAGAACCAAATCTCCCTTATCGTGCAAAGCACAATCTATGGGCACACCTTTTCTTTGGTGAGTATCGAATGTCTTTAGTATGCCATTTCGCTTCCCCAAGGGCGGTATGGCTTGGACACCAGGGCAGTGTGTGGGTTGAGGGATGTGCTGGTAGGACTTCCGGTGTAGCCGTTGGGGGAGAGGACAGGCAACGAATTGTAGGGCACCGAATACTGGCTGTGGATAGGCAGAGATGGTGCTATCTGCGTCGATAGCTGGCTACTCTGACTGTTTCCGATGGGGGCCGACGATACGACACCGGTCGGAGGTACCGGCATGGGTAGTCTTCCGTGACAGGAGGTCTGCAGTTGCGTTTCCGCGTGGCTCGTGCTGGTGATCATAGGAAGCATCTGGCGTGAGTTCTCACTGACGGATGTAGCGGCTGGAGGAAGGCTGGATTGGTGGTGCTCCGACGTCGCGCCGCCGCCACCGCCAGGGTTGTGCTGGGGACCACTGTGCGGTGGAGGCGGCAACGCCGGAGTCTGCGAATGTGTGTGTGCTGGGAACTGGGAGTGACCGGAGACGGTGTAGTGCTGTCGGGTCTGGAACTCACGCTGGGCCACATAGCACTGAAGATGGGACATGAGCCGAAGCCTCAGGGGATCCTGAATGTCCATTCCTTCTACGGTGACGAGGTACCTTGCTACTTCAGAGGCACATTCTCTGAAGCCCAGCACACGGTAGTCCATGGCGTACGCATGGGCCTCACCATACGGATGAAACGATCCATCAATTCCTGTGTGCAAGAGAGTGAAACCGTGTTAATGGATGCTTTCTTGTATCCATACATTTTTGTATGATATTATATGATATTCCCTTCATGTCAAGCCCAAACTACAAACAAATGAGTAAAGAAACGAAAAAAAACGTTTTCATCCAATTAATATTGTTTTCCGAACTGGAATAAAGAACCATCCAAATTTAGAACCTTTAATTTACGTAAAAACCGTGAAAACGTTATTCACTGAATAACCAAACCATGATAGAATCATGATGCTCGTTTGTGTGATTATCAAAAATACAATACATTTGGCCGACATAAAATAAACTAAAGGATAAAAAGTTTAACATTTTGCATCAGATGGAACAACAACATCTCTATACACTATGGTTGTGTGTAATTTTGCACCCCAAAATGAACAAAGATGCAAGTTTGTATGGGGTGTAAAGTTTTGCACCCAGCAAAAGGCCTACAGCTTTGCACCCTGGTGTGAAGTTGAAACTCTGTACCCCGAAATTTTGCTACAGGTGCTTATAAAGTGCAAGTTCGTGCGTCATCTTCTTAGCATGTATATCGGTACTCCTTTGTTCGCGTTTACTGAAAGCAAGATACCATGGAATAATTTCTAATTCTAGAAGATTAAGTAGTAATTACCTTTGGCATGGAGGTATTTCAGATGGTCGACGGTCATCTGGAGGATCTCAGCCTTCTCCAGCTTGGCAGAGCCCTGGAGTAAAGATACAAGCAAGATGGAAGATGGTTATCACCACAATACTGTTAGGATACAACCCATTTGATAGATCGAAAGTTTAATTCATTGACTATTGGGTTGACGAGAGCTTCGAATAACGAATTGGTGATGAAGAGCTCACAAGGAATGATCGAAGAGCTACGGTATTGACGTATGGTAAATCTGGAATACTCAGGCAACCTATAATGAACGGGCTTTTGCATGAGCTCTTGAAGAAACTTTTCACCACTTCCTTTCACATATGCTCCAGGCAGACTTTGCAAACAACAATGAGAAAGGACAGGAAGATAAACGAGGATGAATATATTTGAAGAACTTTCATGTTTTAATTACTTCTCACTATTAACACAGTTAACTATATACGAGTTTGACTGACTCTTGAATCTTACATTGTCTTGGTGGTATATAGACTATTCTTTCTTCCATTGCTCTCACAGTGAGAAAACAAGAAAAGAGAGTGTTTCTGAAATCAGTCTACAATACTATCTTGGCAATATTTCATCCCTGTTCAATCACATTTTTGTTGAGATGTACAATAGGAAGGGGACTTCGTTCCTTTTTACAATCCAAGACCATTAATGTGACTCGAGGTTGGAAAGAAGCTCCATATCTCCTAACTTAAGCCCCGTTACTTAAGCATACAAACACACCCATGTTAGCAATCGGATTAAGGGGTACATTTAAAACGGTCCATAATGAACACTTACAGGTCTTTGGTATTATTGAATGTATCTGTATGTCTATAAGAATGTGAATATAATGGCTAAAGCCCTTCTTGAAGACATCGCGGATGGAGAACTGTAACACTTTTCTAAAAGAGTAAAACCTTAAGATGTATCGCATTGTCTTGTTTGGGTAGAGGGATGATATCAGTTCCATGTTTTCCTTGCGTCATGTGTAACATGCCGTTACATAAATGTTCTTGCGAAGGGCTTAAACTATCCACTATGGTTTCTCTTGTCGATTTAAAACAACTTAATCCCCTTTTATGTCATCTTCTTCGAAGAGAAGCCGAGTCGAAAAGATTTAGGAGGTAGAGATTCAGGCCTACATGATCTCTAAAACACAAACATATTTCTTTCCCGCACAATGATAGCTTACTAGACAGATTATAACGGTGTCCTGAAGTACGCATTAAGCCACTCGTGCCTAACAATCAGTTGTTCAAATAATCTTTACTGTCTAGGTTTATTGATGAACACTTTAATTAGTATCCCACTGGAAAGTTTAAATAGTCAGATATATTTTCAAATGAAAGAATATGCGATCTCATTAAACTAGCATATTATTATGTGTCCATTCTCCTTTTTTTTTCCTTTTTTGCCGTTGCAAAGAACCTGCTGAACAGCCGACGACCTGACCCGCCACACTCCCCCCACACCATGCCCAGTGGGCCGAGACAAAGAGACCTCAGCACGCGCCAAAACTCCACTATGCAAACAAGGCCACGAGAATCTCGCGTGTCCTCAATTAAAAAACACAAAAATCCCCTTTTCAATAGATTTTTTTTTCCTTTTCTCTATAGTAAGGTGGCTCCTCTTTATTCCTCTTTTCGCCGGAAGTCAGGTGAAACGACACACATAATTCATTTTTGGGTGACACATGGGTGCATTTATACACTGCCATTGTGAATTTATGCTACCATTGTGAATGCTCTCTCTCTCCTCGTGTTCATTCATATATTGACCGAGATTATTTATCATTGCGTCTACACAAGAACCTTGCTAATTCATGTGCAACAGTTGTTTGCGCTAAACATGGAGGGCAAAGTATGCTAAAGTTAATCTATTTCTTCTTGTTGATATCTAAGCATCAGTATGCGAGACGAATAAGCATTATTGTTTTGAAAGTTGGACAAGTTCTATACTTTTATTTATACGAATGTAATATATTTTCTGTTTGTGCAATTTGTTCTGACAAAATACCACAATTGATTACTAGAAACATCTGTCTTGGGTAATTACCTGAAAATCCTAAAGTAATACAACTTTACTTTACAGATACTAGTAACAGAACAAGTTCGGGCATTTTGAGATCCAATTGCCCATACCTGAAACTCAAATCGACCAACGAAGGTCACCAGCATCCAAATCTCTTTTTACACCCCAAACCGCGGCCATTGTTAACACACCACCTCAAAACGCGAACAATATCGTATGTATTTTTTTCCTTCTTCTCTTCTTTTTGCTCGTTAGGCCCCTTATTTCACCATATCTTCAACACCTGCGCACGCTCGCCCGAAAAGAAAACAGAAGAATAGACTCAGAAGTAGATAAAAGAAATCTCAAATACAAGAAAATAGGATAGACTCGCTCGTGCCTTTCGCGTGTCCTTTGTGTATCGGATTGTGGTAAGGTATTTTCTTTCTCTCTCTCTCTCTCTCTCCGCAAACTTTTCGAAAAATCTTTTACAAAGTCTCAAGTTTATCCTGTGGTCATACAGTATTTGGAGAAAGAAAATGAAGAGAAAAGAAAGAAAAAGAAAGACCATTTATTTTCTTCCAATCGCAACCACAATAATACTCGGTTAAAACATAACAGGGATGGGTTCTATGACGTTGTATAGAGAGGGTTGGTACATCAGCGCGTGGATGAAAATTAGTGGCTTATTTCTTTTTAAAGAAAAGAACAAGCCCTTATGAGCTCTTTGTTGGAGGTTTTGTAAGCTGGTACGATTTACCTCCAGGGCAAGATTTGCATTAAGGAGAAAGGAGACGAAATATTGTGCCTTAGATTCAGTTTTGAAGGGCGAGGGTATGATTCGTATCAAACTGAAAGGAAAATGATGGAGCGTTTACAGTAAAAACTGATGTGCCATGTGTACTTTGGAAACTCCTTTTCGATAAAATCTTTAATCTTTTAAAAATATGAGCGTTAAAAAATTACTAAAATCATGTATGGCACGATAAGCAAGTAAACTATAAAAAAAACACCCTCATATTTGCCTTAATTAAAAAATCAATCTCATAAAGAGACGATCGTCCAAAGTGTGTATTTTCGATTTGAGTGTCTTGAATAAGCAAACATCTTTCAAAAGCTTCTTGATATTTTTACACGTAAAAAGACGTATGCTTGTGATCAATGCTTAAGTGCATATTATCATATCTTCTCTGCGTTTTGTTCCATCCCTTTCATCTTCTTCTTTGAATTGAATGCCGATTACAAGCACAGCTGCAGGTGGCATGATTATTATTTACACACAAAGATATGACACATCACCTAACAAAAGTGACACTCCCCTGTCCATCTACATATACATGTACCTAGGGTACCCCGGTCATCCCTCTCCTGCCACCCTAAGTCGTCGTTTGGAAATGACATGGTTCCAGTTTTGCTCCGGAATTCGATCAGATAAAAATGAAAGAATATTTTTGACATTGACTATTCATAGACCCTAACGTATTTTTATTCAATGAATGACCAAACCATGATAGAATCATGATGCTCGTTCGTGAGATGTCCCCTAACGGTCATACACATAACTGATCATTACAATAAAATACCAATACTTGAAGTGATTATGTAGAGAAATTTCCAAGGGCCTGTTTCACTTCGTTGGTAAATTTATTAAAAAAACGAGGGTATAGGGATGCTTTTGTGCTATATTTGATTCGTAGTTTTATTCTCGCTCTCTCCCTCTCACGCATTCACCCCGTCTCGTATTATTTTATGAATGGAATAATTGACTGGCATTGTTACGCCCCAAGTACGTCGAGGTCATAACCTTATCTCGAAAACAACCACCCCACCTGCCATTCGCTGCTGAACCCTTTCGTCAACCTGGATACGTTTGATCCGATGGTGGTGCGTGTTAGCATAGTGGAAGCATCGAAAATTACAAGAAGCTTTTAGATATCCAGGTTATCAATTGATATCAGACTAAGCAATACATCATCCCCAGATATTTCAAATTTATTGTGCAAATAGCAACGCATCATAATGCATGGCAAGACAGACCTAGGTTAGTTAAGTGGTCCTCATCTTAAAATGCTTTCTCTTGGATAGACCCCCCCCCCCTCCTTTTTTGTAAACAACAAGTTAAACTAAAATTAAGAAGAATTCATAACTTGTTAGCTCATGTTTGGCGACATATACACATATGAGTATGTTCGATTGAGTTAGATACCGGCTAGTCATCACCACCAAGGGGCAAGTTTGGTAGCGATTGCTGTCATCTCAATCTTAAAGGTAAAGACCAGTATTGGAAACGCCCCAATTTCAAAAAATGAAATGGAAGCTCTCATTACCAATCATGTGAAAGAATATGTTTTGACTAATACATGATGATAACAAATTTGCTGGGAAACCGCCTACTAATTCATATATTGGTAAATTTGTTTCTCTCATGGTCTGTGAGAGATATAGGGTAGTCCCATATACATCTTTCTGTGTATAGTGCTTGTAACTTTACGAAGAATGGGCCAAATTTCTTATCATTTTGATGATTCCAGAACCTTGCAGATGCTAAATGCTAGATGATCAACCTTTTCTGATCGATTCCACAACGTTTCGTTCACAATGCAATCGCATGACTATAACTGGTCTTTACCTTTAACAAAAGTAGACCTACAGTTTCTAAGGTTGAATTCCACAGTGGAATCATACCTAATTAGTTTTGGAGATTGGTATTAATGTTGTGACCCAACACTTGCTCCGGTGAAATTTGCTCCAAACTTTGTTTCGTCACTCTATAGGTTATAGTTAGACTTGCATTTGTTAGGGTTATGGTTAAGTATATCGCCGGGTCAAATGCTACTGAAGGATCTTGACAACTGAACAGAGTATTGTCGTCGAAGCCGGAATCACATCTCAATACTTCTTTATATAGGTATTATTGTGTTTGAGAAAATGTTTACATACCTGCTTTTCAAAGGCTGCTGGTACAAGACGTCTGAGCTCGGTAAGGGAGTTGTTAATGCGGTCTCGTCTTCTCTTTTCGATGATCTATTAAGTTTTTAAGGATTTGGGAAAGAAGATAAGGAGGTGGAAGGTAAAGAGATGGACATGATGTAATGAAGATGGGATAGATAGGTAAAGCAAGAAATAGATGCAAGGGAGGGAGGAAAGAGACAGAAAAAAGATTGGGGTGGCGAAAGAAGAAGGAAAAAATGAAATTAATGAATGATCATTCATATAAATTAAAAAACTAAGAAATTCTTAATTAGAATCAATGGATGGATTGCAAGATTGTCCTATCATTTTTAAAGTTTCAACACAAAACTGTTAAAACTTAAGGAAACATGACAAAAGGCACGTCCAAAATAGATTAAAAATTAATTACACTTAAAAGAATAGGATTTTTGCAATTTTCTTTGTTGAGTATTCGAATCGATTGACGTCAACAGACAGTTCATATATCTTCTGTTATCAAGAATACCCCTCTTCAGTTATCTTCGTTATCGAAATAATGTACTTCTCGTATCATTATGACGCAATTAATAGACCAATACTTCCTTTGTCTTCTCGAAAATCATCACAAGCCTTTGTTGTAGAGTGGCTCTTAAACTGCTTAAAGTGTCCGATCCTTGTATAAGTTCAATATAGTGGCACTTAAAGATAAATGTTTCAATTTCTTTTGTAATGACACTATTTATCATTCCCCGAACTCTAACTGAGCGCAATTTTTCTCACCATAATACAAGACAATACAATCTCGCTTTGAGTACACAAACAATGTAGGCCATTTATATGAATTACACAAAAGACTTCTTTACGTTATCAATACAGAGTCAAGTCGACGTGATAAGGATGTGGATTTGTAAACAAATAGAAAAAGCGTTAGCTTTTTGGAGTTGATTTGCCCAGCTGCGAATAGCTGACGTGTATATAGTATTCTCTTTTCATTCAGAAAAAAAAGGCAGCAACTCAAATAACGCAGTAATCGGAAAGTTCGAATGAGGGCCACTTATGGAACACTTGAGATTGTGGGGGTTGAATAAAGTAGAGGAAAATTGACAAAGGGTCCCCGCTTGAACTGAAGATATGAGCGATAATAGGCAGAAATCAAACAATATTTGTCTGGGGAATTCTCTCCACGCGCGCTAATTCAAAAGAGTAACTGCAAGGCGGAGAGTTATTTGAACTGCAGGCCATTTACTGGTGACCGTTTGCCTCTTGAAATGACCAATAATTTATCATCATTAAGGGAGAAAGAACTCCTGCTATAGTCAAGAAAGCTATATTCTTCATAATCACCCTGTAGATTTATTGCTGCAGGCTTCAGTTGTCATGACAACGCATGATCTAACCTATTCATTATTAAAATGAATAATTAAATGCATCCACGCTTGTCGGTAAGTATGACGCATATTACAATATTCATGGCAATATGATCATTAATATTTTGGTAAAAATTTGATGCCATCATCATCACTCGATAGAAATCATGTCATTTTACAACCAATACTGTTATTTTCTTTAACAAAAAATTACACACTCTTTGCTTAATTTCCAAGATAAAATTGTGATGTCATTTTGTTCTCGTGCTACTTTTCATGTAGATTAAGAAGCATATTGTGTCATATTGTGTCGTATCAAAAATAAGTTTGAATGTCTGAATTAGCAAAGATGTCACCGAAAACGCAATATATTTAAATGAAAAATCAATTAGTGCATGTGTATCTGATTCGAGAATATATAACGAATACAAATATTGAGATTAGTCTATAATTTAGAGATAAACGGACATATATCTAACGAAAATAGCGTGACAAACTTTCTGGCAAAATGGTCTTCATTTATAATTCCTTTTAAATATTTAAAGATATAGTGAACGAATCCTAAGCATTTCTGTGGGGATACGATCAATTTGAGCTTATATCATTTGAAATTCAATCAACATTAATATTTCCCTGTTGTACCTGTTCAACAGCCTAACACATATACACCAATCCAAGACAACTATACCTTTATACAAACTACATTCGTAAAATGCAATCAAGCAAATATTGCAACAAACGTACTCTTTATTTGTAACCCTTTTTTTTTTCTTCATCGGAAACACAATTGCCTACTGTGACTGGATTCCTGTACACCATGCATGCTGTGTTATCAGGTGGAACGTCAAATGAAACATTAAAGCTCACCCCTCCAAAAAAATGACAAATGTTTGAATAAGAAATCGCGCGTTTTCTTCGCACCATGATTACTGCATTATCTGCGTTTTGTATTTGGATGGATGGGAACAAAAGTCATTTGAGTGAATTAAGCGCCCTAGACGCGGGCCGTGCACGTGGCGGCTTTTAATGCAAGTGATGACATAGCGTTCGGTTCACCGAGTATCCTCGCCATTATGAGCTTTGCACTGATCCACTTCGTTCCACCTCATTTTGTAAGCCCGTCCCAGTTATGTCATGGGGCTGAGAGGATAATATCATGTTGTACGTTTATGATAATATCAATATCAAGTGCCAGTATTTCTCAATAACGATAAGGATAATACTAATGACATAATGATGAAGCTGCACTGGAATGGTATTCTGAGACGAATTTGCCCCTTTGAATGTGTACTTTGTGATACTGACTCAGATCTTTTATTTTATTGTTTACCATTCCATTGTCAATTAATCGAATTTCAATAATTAGGCCCGTTATAAAATAAATCAATTACATAAACTACAGGTGTGGCATTTTACAATACCGTATCTATATAGCATTGTGAAGACAATGTACATAAGCCTCTAGGGTTTTAAAGTGCGCCCCTAGGAAAATATAAGTACAATTTGCAACGAGTCTACAGCTCGTGGGGTTGTCCATATAAGCTACCACCTCATCTCGTTATCAGAATACGCCTCTTTATTTGGTGTAGAATAGTTCCCATTTGCATCTCATCCTTGGAATATTTAATTCATTGTTTGATGAATTAATATAGCAATCTGGTAATTGCATTTCGTCATACCCGTCATTCCTGACTGCCTATTTCTGTTACATATTAAACACTGATACGAATTTGGGGGCCAATACTCATGACTCAGAATCTCAGAGCAATTAAGCAAGACGATGACGCATATTTTGGGATAAAAGACACCAATTCACAAATTTTAAAGCAAATATTATCAAGTTTATAATTCAGCTATAAGTAAAACAAAATCTATATACTTTTTTCAAAGAATATTTTTAAATGACAAAACTTACCCCACGGCGCTTCTTTCTTGCACTCACTGGGCATGATTGGCTCGGTGATCTATGGAGAAAAAAGGAAAGACAGAAATTTAAAAATATAAAAAAATAAATCAAATGTTGAATCAGATGATAAAGAACACAGTAATATTCAGCAACATCATTTACAATAGACTACCAAATTCGTCACGGTGATCACTTTTAGCTGTAAAGTGAAATGGCAAGGAAAAAGTGTAATGAATGTATAAATTTTAATCAAATATTTTGTAACAGATTGATTAAGAAAGAACACAAATTTGTGTATACATACTACTATTGGAAACCCAATTTCATATTCTTTGACACATCATTTGGAAACCAAAGTTGATAAGACATAGCAAAGCCGTAATAAAAAAAAAATCATTATTAGTTTCAAAATTAACATTCACCTGTTCAAGGTTCTTTCTTGTTTTTGTTTTCTTCAATAGTGATATATAAAAAATATTTATTAAAAAATGATCTTACCCTTTCATGGTCTCGTCAAATAATTCGTCACTTTCTGATTCACTCATTGTCCTTTTCATGTCCCAGTGACCAACTGATAGCTTCATGCGACAGGCTTTCCGTCAATAAGTAACCAGGTAAATTGCACGATTGTTAAAATGTTGTGCACCAAAAGTCTGGCACCCACTCCACTACTCGACAGGTGTTGTAAGGTGTTCTGTCACGAAAGATATTGCTCCAAATTACAGATTTTTAGACGATAGCACACCGTAGAAATTAAAAATTGAAACTTGTTGATTGCCGAAAACTAACTGTTGCAGTTGAGAAAAGAATTGGGCTCGCTGACTGTCTCTGTGTTTTTGAAGAGTGGAAGGTTTTGATGAAGTTTCTTGAAGTGTCAAGTAAGCGTGTGGTCCGCTTGTCGAAGTTTAGCTGTCAACTGTTTGACAAGTTATCTGCGCTCGCAGTCAAATACTACTTCTCAGTGGGGGGAGCTAGGGAGTGTGCCTGAACAGCCCTCGGGGGTCTAATGCGCCTGTGATTGGTTGAAAATGGCTAATATAAGTTTCCTCTACGCGTGCCTTACGTGGGGTTTTGCACACGCCCAGGCCGTCGCACCGAACTGCCGTTTGTCGCGTGCTGCGATTGGCTGCCTACTCGCACGCCGGCGGCACGTCATTGGCCGGTAAGCCCCCCTGTCGCGTGTTGGGGAATAAAAGAAACGTGCGGCACGGCGTGTGATTGGCAGGTTACACGTGGGTCTTGTCAACAGAAGGGCGTGGCCTAGAGTGCCTTTCTTCTCATTGGCTTACAAACAATCTGACAAGAATAATATTGCGATATGCGACTAAAATGAAAGGATTTCTTTTTTTGTGTGTGTGCGTACCCATACCGTAACTTGCACTCCATTGCTGTATTGTCAGAATAGTAATATTGCCAAATCTCATTTACACATAACATAAATCATTGGGAGATTTCTTAGTTGAGAGGTATGATTATCAATGCCTATGCTCGGTATACCTTATTATTTGAACAAAGGATACGCGGAAAATGAATCATAATGTATTCAAATGAGTATTGGTAATAGGCATATTCATAGTAAATACTTGCCTCCTAAAATAATGATAAATACGAAACGATATTGTTTTCATGGAAAATTTACCACTTTTATTTCAATGATTTTCCATTTTGCCGTATGCATCTTTGTGACATGATTTAATTTTGGATAAACACACACATTACGCGATGCTATAAAAACCACAGAAATTCCCAAAATTACTCAAAACATATGTAGTGAAATAATCCTGTTCCTTCGAGAAAAAAAATGTTACCGGTTTTTTTTTCTCCCTTTCTTTACTAAAATTCTGCAAAGAGATTTAAGGACATGGAATTCGTTAAAAAATTGTACAATTTTCTTATTTGTTCCATACATTATTCTCATGCTAACAATACGTGTAGAGAGTAGTAAATCATATCATATTTTATGTTCTGGCCATTCAAAGCAGCAAGCGCATTGACGCCATTCATATATTGCGACGAAAATATTTTCTGTCCTCTAAACAGTGTTCTGAAAATTATATTTGAGAAAGATGTCGACAAAATAGAAATGTTTAATGAAGGACTGTAACTTCAAATTCTGTCTCAATTACTTTTAAATCATAATGCCCCAAACATAAGTTCTCAATGTACAGAATAATCATAAATTCTCATCGTGTATCCTGTCTTCCCCGGATATGCTTCAGTCTTAAAACAATAACAAAGGCACTGATAGATATGACCTATTTGGCCGAAGTCAACTTCATGTAAATTTACTTTTTTTCGAGAGAGACCTCGAATGTCATCTCAATTTATGAAACTAAATTCTGGTATTTATCAATTCAAAGAGGACTTCAGAAGGCCATTATGTGCGAGTGGGAAAAAAGTTAGAGTGTGAAAAAGACAGAGAGAGAGAGAGAGAGAGAGAGAAATGAAGAAAAGTGCGTCGGTACGGCTCATGACTGACTGAAAATTAATTGCAGAAGCAAGAAAACTATGCAATCAGTTAGAATGCAGTACACTACCAGCAGAAACCCCCTCCCCCAACAAAAATGGAAGAAGAACAAAAATGGAGCAAGGAAAAAAAAAACTTCAAGAGAAAATAGAGAAGACACCTAAGACAAAGAATAATGTAGCGCATCATAATTATATCTGCATGATTATAATGCAAATATTAATGTTGAGATAAAAAACGATCTAATATAAAAGAGATAATGACAAAGACTTGGAGAGAAAAATAATATTCGACGTATGAATCAATTATTTATAACAAAGGAAATGGAAAGTGGAACAGAATGTAAGAACAAAAATAACATGGAAAGAGGTCAAGTTTGAAAATAAATCAATACCAAATATGTAAGGAAAACAGAATTGCGAAGGGAGTGATTTTTTGTCTTTTTAGCTCCCGTCTCCCTATTTTCCAGGGATTTGGTATCAATTATTAAAAAACAGAAGGGTGTAGACACACTGATTGCAAACAGACTAACACGTGCGCATCCCGCATGGAAAAGCGAGTAAAATTTGCACGTGTTCATATCTCTCGTCTATGGATATCATAATAACAGAGATGCGTTCACACTGGAGGCAATATCACGTTGACCTTCTGACCCGAAGGCCAAGTTGATTGAAGTCTATGGGCAGGTTGTGTATTAAAACGTGCAGTGGCGCGGTCAGTTTGCCGATTGGTTGCGAGTGGTGGCTGTGTGAACGCAATGTGCATGCAGCGACGGTTCACCTAATTAATATAAGGGTAATAATGATTGTGGTGGAAAGTATCATGACTTTAGGAGAAAGTCGGGTAAGTTCTCTTGATTTTCAAAATAAAATCAAGAATTGAGTGGAAAAATTTAGCATGCCTGACCTATTTAAATGTACAGTATATGGGATATAAAATAACAATGTATATATATATATATATATATATATATATATATATATATATAATATACATATATATATATATATTCACAAAAGTAAGGTGAGTTCCCCTCCCCCTCACACATACATACACACACACGCACTTAGGCCAATCCATTTTTAAAGCCTGGTAATGGGGGTACGATTCTATACAACTAAAAAAAAAGTTGCTAACAAGAAAAAAAATGAATTATCATATTTTGCAGGTGCCCCTTGGGTCGAAATATACTTCCATGCATTTCAGGTATGCCAAAAAAAAAAATACGCTAGAGCTCATATCCCTATCATAAAAGATATTGAATTTTCGACTTACCACTTACCATAAGCACATTATATGAAAATAATAAGCAGATCGCAAACAGCAACAACACTGTAAACTAATGATGACGCCATCTTTCGGGGCGGCAGAAAGAGAGAGAGAGAGAGAAAAAAAAAAGTGTGTATAGGGGGGGGGGGTAATTCCTACCCATTAGCCTATCATAACTTTGTTCATTATCAATTCCAGGGGCTCTTATTTGTCTGCTTTAAAGATTTTGGGGTCGATTTTTTAATTAAGGTAGACTCGCTCTTCCTGTTTAAGTAGCGCATACGGCCCATCTTCCCAAGGGGACGATGCATGGTGGACGCATTGCAGAAGAAGGCGCGGGCTTGGGTCACTTTCGTCTTTTAAAACAACTATAAAAAATCAGTCCTCTTGCAAGTCGTTGTAGTATGATGTGATAAGCAGTTACCAAATCCTGAAGACACTTATAAGTAGAAGCAAAATTAATATAAGGACTGAGATGAAAGAAAAAACACGCAAGCGAACAGAGCAAAGAGATTTTGACATGTAAATTAAGGGATCATTGCAACAACATAATTTGAGATATGGTGAAGAGATCCGTGATCGAGTAAGGAATATGATGATGATTATTAAAGGAATGAGGAGTATAAAATCGAGAGCTATGGAATATCCCTATTGGGCCACGCCACACGTGGCCTTTGTCCGACTTGTGTGTGAAATGGCCATTGACCTTTGCTTTAGTTCCATGGTAGGTTTTAGAAATGAAGAGATGGGAGAGAAGGACAAGGGCGCACGGTAATTAATATTATTTTGATGGTATTATGTTCATAGTGAACGCATATTTTAATGTCGTAAATTGTAGTCTATTACGAGGGATGTTCGCTTTGTCTGAGATCATGTTATAGCCTTATATCATGAAAATATTCTTCCGGAACGTCAAGCAATGTGATATTATATTATTTGAAAAAAATATTTTCCCCCTTTTTTTTCTTCTTCTTTTTGATCAGGACTTGAGTGTTCTTTGGTATATCTTTAAAAAAAAATGTTCACTGACCAATTTCTTTCACCCAAACAAAGATAATAGCGTTATTCAACTTACTGTTTATTCTATACACCAAATAATATATGACAGTATTCCTTCACTCACACCCGCATTTGGTCACTTGTTGGAATTATGTAGGATTTGAAAAGTTGAAAGGGCGGATCCAGGACTTTTGCAGGGGAAGGGAAGGGGGGGGGGGGGAGGAGGGTAGCCCAATTCTGAAAATCAAGGGGACATAGTTTGATTTTGTAGTTGTTGTTTTCCTTGAGGTTTATGTCAAGATGAGGGGGAGGGCACGAGCATGTTGTGCTCCCCCCCCCCCCCCCATCAATCCGCCAATAATTGGTACTGACTTCGGTTTATATCGGATAAAATGAACCCCATGCCAAGCCGAGGTATGGTATCCGCCTGTCCACACCTTTCTCATCTTTCGCACGGTGAGGACCATAATACCTTTCATCATCATCATTGATCGGGTATTTCTCAGATATGAGATTGAAAGTGATCTGATGTATGAAAGCTGAGCTGTCATCGAGAACACACTCACCTATATTAAAGAGAAAGTTGAGTTCTGGGAAGCAGTGAAAAATAATTTGTGAGCGTTATCATTCTTATTATGCAAGTGTGGAAGAACATCAGGTGAAACATGTTCCCTGAAAAGCATGGCTCTTCAAATGCCTTCATATTCTAAATATGTCATGTACATCGTAAAACTCGGGGGGTAGGTTTTTTACGCCACGTGTTCGTGTAGTCCCATATACATCTTTCTGTGTACAGTGTTTGTAACTTTACCAAGACTTGGCCAATTTCTTATCATTTTGATGATTCCAAAACCTTGCAATATACACACAAATTCTTATATGCAAGATGATCAACCTTTTCTGGTCGATACCACACCGTTTCTTTCACAATGCAATCGCATGACCAGAACTCAACTTCATCTTTAAGGGACCAACGTATGTTTCATGATTTTGACGAGCGCTTGGTATTCTTAAATATAATCTAATGAAAAATGATTTAAATTGACGGAAAGTGCTGTTTAAAACATACTTATATTACGTTTAGTGAATTGGTTAGTTTTAGTTACATATTAATGTCAGACCCTGTTTATTAACAAGGTTTGAGTAAACCTATATTGCTTTAAATTGTAACACCCCTCTTTGAATTATCCCTTTAAACCTTTTTTATGTTTCGACCACCTAGCTGGTATATGCCACTGGTGAAGGGAACAAAGAGACCCCTGTCCTATAGGCCTTGTTTATGTCAAAACCCAGACCACTTCCCTAATTCGTAGAGTACATAAACAATGAATGACCAGTGGATACATTTACTGGTACTCCCTTTGTCTTAGGGATAGGGAATATTGGGGTTGTTTGCCTGGTTTGGGAGGAAGATTGGCTCTCCCTTTGAGAGCTAATTTGGACACCAGCGAGACAAGTCATATTTTTAGGAGAGTACAAGAACCATATTCTTGTACTGTTAATTCTTCTACTGTTAAATATTGTATTCTTCGCCTGGTTGTCACCCTCCCTGAACAGGTAAGACCCACTGTTTTCTAATTCCTGTTAATTCATTGCTTAGGCTGTAATCGAATATTGCCTTTTTAATATAGTTGTTCATATTCACTATCATAAGTCTTTAGTAGTATTTTATTTGATAGAAGAAGTGAAATGAATTACATTCAGTTAGAATAGAATAGGATATGTTCTATTTCAGTATGTTATACTGCCCTGATAATTATTCTTAGTTTACACTAAGAAAGATGTGATATATTTTTATTTTCATCAACATAATAATTTGGCCTAACTCAATTTGCCAAAGTTTAGTTATGTTCTGAACTTTTCAATTCTATTCCAGTCGAGATGAGACTTGGAATATAATAGCTTAGGTTTTACTTTATCATTTCATGACATCGTTGTACAGTTGAGCTCATGTTTTGTAGCATAGTTATGTTGTGTTCTATACTACTCTGTATATATTTTATTTTTAGTTTGTTGTGAATAAGTTTAAGTTAGTTGTTATCAACTCATTCTCTCTCTCTCTCTCTCTCTCTCTCTCTTTCTCTCTTTCTCTCTATCTCTCTTTCTCTTTCTCTCTCTCTTTCTATTCATTCTATTCATGTCGGGTTATAGAATTACAATTATTATATCTCATTGTTGTATTAATAAGGGAGAGCTAATTTGGACACCAGCGAGACAAGTCATATTTTTAGGAGAGTACAAGAACCATATTCTTGTACTGTTAATTCTTCTACTGTTAAATATTGTATTCTTCGCCTGGTTGTCACCCTCCCTGAACAGATATCGGTCGCCCTGTTCAGCCCCTTAAAAGTCCTACTGTATTAGACGATCGGAACTGGTTTAGACTGTCCCCCCTGTTACCAAGGCAACGTTCTCCGCCCTGGCCATAGATGAACAGAAGGATTGATAGTTTTATACCTCAAGATAATTATAGTCCTTTTCTTTTAAACCTTGTAAAGTTATTTTACCTGTATATGTTAAGAGTTATCACTGTTAGTTTGTGAAGCCTTGCATGTCGGCTAAAGATTCCGCTGATATATATAACTATTATATGTTTATCAATACATGTTTTTATGTATTATACTTATTATTTGGATGAGTGATATTTTGTAGCTTAGCCTACCTTTGAGGTTAAGTGTTAATAAATCCTTTTCTTTTGGATCTTTCACTCAAACTACTCTGTGGAGATATCCTTATTTGTTTTTGTTGTTTCTTTAACTAAAATCTCCTGTATAAAATAAATCCCTGAACTGGGTGCAGGTGAACAAGGATTTACCTGTGACATTAAGATGATATAATTCTAGTAGTTCATGAAACACTTCTTTCGTAATGAATTTGAATTAAAAAACTTAAATGCCGAATGTAGGACTCTGAAATTTCAAGTACCCTGCAAGCAAAGAGAGGATTGGGGGGGGGGGGGGGGGGAGGGAGAGAGAGAGAAAGGGGGAATAAAAGAAACAGAGAGAAAGACAGACATAGATTAAGAGAGAGAGAGAGAGAGAAAGAGTGGGGAGCGATAAAGAGGGAATTAAGGCAGGAATCAGGACGGCAAAATCTAGATCAAACATATTGCATGGATTTAGCCAATTATTACCAAGTTTCTCAGGACCAACGACATAATAAGAGAAAACATAATCCTTACAAGTCTATCGAAATTGAAAAAGGTGATTCAAATTTAATATTTATTAAACAACAGCAATTACAAGCTGTTCTGTCGTTACACATCGCCGCTGTATATACCACAGTCCCACGTGTGTATTTTGGTGCAGTCACACGACCTACGCGTGACACACCAACAGTGCATGGTTATAACACTGATCTCTACGATTTATTTTCGTAGAGATCAGTGGTTTATAGTTATGAACTGATGATGAACCTGCCACGAAGTGTGTGTGTGTGTGTGTGTGTGTGTGTGAGGGGGGGGGGGGAGATAGAAGGGCCAATTCAAGGAGAAAAATCTATTTTCTAATGTAAAAGAGGAATATCACAACCGATGACGTCTTCGATCGTTTAGAACGGGTCTAAATATCCCGATACTGCATTTTAAAAATTGAAGAAATTTAGTGAGCATTCCAATCAATTATACCAATAAGATATGAAACTGGTTAAACGATGCATTTCATCAGATTTAATATCATACATTTGGAAATACCATTCCTTCCTAGAATTAAAAAATATTAATATACCGAATTTTAACAGCTTTTATATACAAATCGATAAGGGATTGAATGAACACAACGGATGACTGACTGGAGTATAAAGACAATACATCTATCGCCTATTAAATATGGCAATTCTTCCACTATAAAAACATGCCTTCAATTATCACATTCTGCACTTTGATCCCGCACAATTACACCCAATTCAGGAAAAATTAAACATCCTTAATTATGCAAGCTGCACCACGGCCGGAAATAATTGATGCGTATTAGACAAGATTCGGCGAACTAACAAATTTCATTTTCCTTCCATATTTTCACCTAAATCCTCCGTTAATTCAATGGAATGGGCAGCGAATAACCCTGAGATCGCTTTCCCACGACTATTACACAAAGCGTCCATGCATGATTTTTAAAAATGATTATTTTCTTTTGGGCATTATTCATCTTTGTTTCCGAGCGATGCGCTCTGCCAAGCCGAGATTACGCGTCGAGGAATCGCAATGCTATTCCAAAATTCCATTCAATAATATTTCATGGCAACTTCCAAACACGAAAGCAACCCAAGCTCAGACGAGTGAAAGAATCAACGACAAAAAGTCAATAAAAGAATATAGTTTATAAGATAAATATATGTTTGTGTGTTTCTCTTCAAACGAACAAAGCAAAAATACGAAGTGAGGTAGATTACGCAGTGAGAGAAATGAGATATGAAAGAAAAAGTCAAACAAAATTATTGCGGTATTTGACAGCGTAAAGGAGCTTGTCACACGATTAGATAGTCTCTAAGAACAAACATTATTAACAATTTTACAATACTATTCCTGGATTTGTATAACTTTATTTAAACAGATTTGCATTTTAACGAATAATGAGACGTATAATATCTCTAAAAAGAAAGTAATGATAAATATTACTGGTCAAACTATAATGTAAAAGCTCAAATTAGACAATCATCTTCGAAAATGACTGAAGAGGGTTTTGTTGCTACAGACTAAGAGATTGCGTCTAACGAATAAACACGGTAGTAGCCGACCGTGGGAAACTTGTGTAGCGGACAAAAGGTGCGATCGCCAAAATTACAACTCGGCTGGTTGTCGTCTGACGCGCGCGTGGGGCCGTAAAAAAATGAACTCACAATAGAATAGGCTCACGACATCCACGCGAACGAATCTCTCTCTCTCTCTCTCTCTCTCTCTCTCTCTCTCTCTCTCTCTCTCTCCCATCTTTCTCTCTCTCTTTTTCGAACTCATTATTTGACGTTTGATAGTGTTTCCCAGCGCTCTCTTACATGCCTGAACCGCAGAAATCAACACAGTTCATTCATAATTATCCCAAGATATTTGTCTATATAGGCCTACTGTTCGCTCAAAGCCAAACGATGATAATTACACTATTCATTATCTATACTTGTTTAAGTTTCATCTTTCTGTCTTTTTGGCTTTTCGACTCTCTCTCTCTCTCTCTCTCTCTCTCTCCCTCTCTTCCTCTCTCTTCCTCTCTCTCTTCCTCTCTCTTCCTCTCTCTCTCTCTCTCTCTCTCCTCCATGCCTCTTTACCCCACCCCCACTGCCTTTGGTAAAAGGTATAGTGATGCGTTATTATTTTATTTTCATTCTGTTTATCCATGGACATACATGGTTTATCATACATTGCGTCCAGTTTTGCAGTAATATGCATTAGGAAACAATGACAAAGTCATCGTCTGTCAGATTATCAAGAAAATATGTTTGGATCTATAAAGGCCTCCAATAAGGTTCGACCAGCCAGGTTGAATAGCAAGGCAGATACAGATTTTTAAATTTATTTTTTTACTTTTTGCTCCGTCTTATTCGGTGTATTTGATGAGAGTTCATTGACAAAATACCTTTAGTCAACTCAAATTCAAGTCTTAATTACTTTTATTTGTGGTTGTCTCTATGTCTCTGTCACTCTCTTTCTCTATCTTTCTACATCGAAAAAAACTACCCATCCACCATCCTTCATTTTAATAATTCTACTGTTCTCTTTTCCTCTACTCTCCCAACACACCATTTCCCCCTTTTCCCTGTAGATCTCATTTTTTATGCGCCTCACACTATACATTCTATTTTGATTATGTCTCCGATTCTATTTAGTTTTTATTATCACATTTATTTCGTCCCCTTTCAACATTTTCCAATTCTCTTCACCGTTACCTCTAGTTACCTTTCTCGAAATTTCGGCAACGAACAGTCTCCAAAATCCTTCCAAAGAATAAGGGCTTAACATTCTATTTTGAGAAAGAGATCCATTTCGTCTCATTCAGCACTAGGCTCAATTTTCGGCACAAAAATGCTCGAAAACTCGCGCAACTTTTTACGACCCATATTTCATTTTCATCCTCCAAATGAATCCGAGCATCTCTGTCCGAATCCCTCTTCCCCTTGTAAAGCCCGATGAGCTGGCCCTCCTAAAGAAAATCCTGCAGGGTGCGAGGGCATAAATTCGACGATCAACTGGTCTTAACACAACCCCCATGTGCCAAGTGTTTATCAATTTGACGAGAGATATGAATTTTTGATGCATATCCAAAACCATCTGTCTCATGCCCATCAAAACAATGTCCCCTCGGCAAAATTGTGACCTACATTTTGATTGCTGTGCTAATGAGTTTTAAAGAGAGTTTTTCGAAAGATATTAGGTGGCTTTAATGATGTCTCTTTTTCCTTCTAAACCAATTCTAAAACATAGAATCGAAATTACAGTCACGTAATTTATGGGCCATAATTAATATAATTAATTTCGGTTTTCTATTTTCCTGAATTAATGAAAGCCGAAAAATGTAGTGCTGCTAACCTTCATATTGTTTCACATACCAATGTCAATTTGATGAACATCGAACTACGAATATGAACAATTTGATATCGATGACTTAGTAATATTCGATTGCAAGCAAATAATAGCAAACAAAATCATGTTTTTGATGATGTCAATAATATTCAAATTAAAAATTCAAGCAGTATAATTACATATGGATGAGAAACAAAATGAGGACATATTTCATCGGTGCACTCACACAATTTCAGGCGACCAGTGACACCCCTGATGTCCAATTATCGTTTGAAATATCTCTATTTTTACGAGATGTGCAAGACAGTCGCATTCATTGGTATAGTTTTCTATCGTGAAGTCACGGTGCGGTTTAGCATCGCATGGGGGACTTTAGGGAGGGCAACAGGTTAGCGTTCCGTACGTCGCTAGCTGCCCTGGCCGAGACCTCACTATCATAAAGTTTTATACGGTAGACGAAAAACAACCGCCATGACTGAATAAACTACCACCAAAGGTTTTCGTGTTTTTTTTCCTCCTATCTTACCAAGTTTCAGCCGAGTGAAATACCCTCTGCGTTTTTTATGTCATTTCTAAACAAATCTGTGACAGGTTTATATTTCCCTTGCTATTGTCTTAACAATTTGAATGGATGACTTTTTCGTTGTCGGGGAACGGTTCAATTTGGACATGATAATGAAACGGGTAGTGTATTGGGATCATATGGAGGAATATAAATAGTGGATGGTGACAAAGAACAAAAAGAAAGAGGGAGAAATTGAGAAATAATAATATAGTAGGGTAGGTAAGAGAGGGATAGAGAGAGAGAGAGGTGGGAAGAGGGGGTGAGGGGGAGGAGAATGGTTTAAAACAGTGAATGAAAGAAGAGGCACATTTAAAGGATGTTAAAGAGATAGGAATACAGAAAGAAGAGAAATAGAGTGATGAAATGATCAGTGTGTTGGTTTTTCTTTTCAACTATATCTCGGTAGAGGTATACTGCATTTGTAGAGGAGACTAATTGCATGTGGGCGAAACAGAATGAATTGGAAAGGAGAAATGGGAGAGGAAAGGTAGCAAACGAATAATATATATAACAACATGAAATGAAAGGGTCTATATGGTAATAAATGAAAGCTTAAATATTTTTGGTAAACTTTTTATTTTGAACAAGTGATATGAAGTTAAGGAATGACACGGGGAATATTTGTCTTCTTTTCTCTGTT